AAAGGGATGCAAATACAGAAAAAAATCCGGTGGCTCTCGTTTTTTTTTAAATAAATAAATTGTTTTAAAATTTTCTTTTGAACTTGAATAGCTCAGTTATTTTGGATTTATCTGAAAAACGGTAAAGAAAAAATATAGTTCATACCAAATAAATTTTTAGTCACGTGCTTAAGTTTGACCGGCACAGCGTTGCCCATTTTTATATATCTTATTTTCTTTCTGTTCTTTTAATCAAAATATTTTAGGGAACAAAAATAAATTAATTATAAATGCAGGGTGGTCCGAACTGTATTCCGGAAACTTCGGCAGCATATCTTGCAGATAAAAATAAGTAAAAAGTTCGTATAAACGTATGTCCTAAAATGCTTAGATTCGGAGATACAGGGTGTAGAAGTTTCATTTTTTATTTCGATTTTTTCGGAAATAATTTCTGAAGTAACGTCAATATTTAAATGAAAATTGGTGTTTGGGAGTTTTTTTGACATGAGAAATTTGATTTTGATGTCAATATGACTCCTAGTTGTAGAGGCGCCACCTACTGATTTTTTAACTGGTTTGAAGAGTAATAAATTTTCGTCCGCACCTGTATAGAACTAGTGAGTAAAAAATATACATTTACGGCATTTTTTACGTAAAAAGATCTCGGTAAAATCGCTACGTGTAATGGTTCTCGAGATATTTAGAATCGAAATTATCAATACCTGTCATCATTGACATAAATTAAACATGTTGATTAAGTAGTTATTAGACTGAAATCATAAATTTGAAACGATTTTGTGTCAAAAGTTCAACAGAGATTGTTTAATCATCATTTTTTCGAAGAAAAATTTATGATTAATTTAAAAAAAATAAAAAGTGCCAAAATTTATCATTTCGGTCAAATAACTATCTACTCAACATGTTATTTTTTACCAATAATGACATATAATGACTACTTCCATTCTAAATATCTTGAGAACGGTTGCTCGTAGCGATTTTTATCATGAGACATTTTTTACGTAAAAAATCACGGAAATGTATATTTTTTCACTCAGTAGTTTTATACAGGTACGGACGAAAAGTTATTACTCTTACACAAACTGTTTAAACATATGTAGGTGGCGCCCCCTACAAATAGGAGTCATATTGACACATCAAAATTAAATTTCTTATGTCAAAAAACTCCCAGGCATCAATTTTCATCCATATATTGACGTTATTTTGGAAATTATTTGGAAAAAAACGAAATAAAAATAAAACTTCTACACCCTGTATCTCCGAAACTAAGCATTTTAGGACGTACATTTATACGAACTTTTTTACTTAGATTTATCTGCAGAATATGCCGTTGAAGTTTCCGGAATACAGTTCGGACCACCCTGTATATAAACAGTTATTTACATCAACAAAACTCACCTTTTTAACAGCACTTTTAAGGGGCATAAAATACTATTACTACCGTTTTCCCGTTCAAAGTATTCTAATAAAGTTGCGATGAGTTTTTTACGGCTATTAAGTTGTCTTGTACATTTCGCACTAAAAGAGGTACTAAAAAGAACAGTGTTCGACTGCAACGTCTGCTAGTAAAAACTTTTAAGCTTAAAATATCACAACACAATTAATTTAAACCAAAAACTCGTAATACAAAACTACAGTGTCAAAACGAACGACAATGTCGGTAAATAAATAAATAAATATGGCAACTTGACATTTTTTACAGTATAGATACCACCTGAATCCCCAGCGGTAAATTTAAATTCCAGTTAGTCAGCCCGGCGCCGAATATGTCCATGGTCGGCAACAATCAATTTAAAAATCGCGCCCTCGATTACGTTAACTAAAAGCTTAATTGGTATCGAATATAGATATTTATATTTTATCAGATTTTTTTAAGTGACCACACACCTTGATGTCTGCAGAAATATACATGCCCGAATTATTATTCTTATTAATATAACAATTGCTTTCTATAAGTTATCTGCTTGTAGATCCGCAATGTAACAGGAAAAAAATAAACATATTTTCGGATAGTCAAGTCGCGTTGAAAGCGCTTGAAGCATCGAAATGCACATCCTTGACGGATTCTTCACTGTAAAAAACTACTCAATTTACTACGATACAGGGTTGGCAAATATCATATTTATATAAATATCATAATATCGGATATATATCATGGACATATATCATATCTGATATTTTGTTCCTGGGTAATACAAAATACCTTTATTTCAGTAAAAACAAAAATTAAACTTTAGTTTCAAATCACAAAAAACAAGACAAAAAAATAATATTTTTCCTAAAATATATAATGAAAAAACTTGTCGTTTGATAAATGTTTAAGTAACTAAAAATGGGGCAACAGGAATATCATCGTCACTATTATCTTCACTTAAAGCAACTAGTTCATCATTTGACAAGATCCCGTTCAAGCTTTTGGCTTTTTTTATAGGTAATTTGATTTAAACATTTAAAAATAAATACCAGTTTACTAGCTTTTTCGTTGCCTATTTCTTAATTTAGACCGAATTATTCTTCGCTCGAAAAAAATCTTTCTAAACCATTTGTTGCCGCTATTGCAGTGAATAACTGCTCACATAGTTGTAAGAATAATTCTTTTTTAACCACTCTGAGTCAGGAATTACAACCGATTTCCATCAAATCATTGGATTTGTTTGGAATTGTGCAGAAAATAAATACTTTAGAAATGGATAACACTTCGTAGAAAGAGCCATTACAAGCGGAACAAATTCGGGGTTTAATGAATTTAGAATTAAGATCAAAAGCTTGTTGTTTTTGAAACTGTGTTAAATTTTGTCCTAAGAATCTGTGATGATATATATCATGATATATATCAATCAATAAATATCAGATATATATCGTGATATGTATCATGATATATATCACTATATAAGAGTTTCTTGCCTTGAACTGCTAATATAGAAATTAATTCCACGCTGTGTTCGACATAATGTGGATCAACCTGCTCTCACTACCGGTTTCGGGGCCCTACCCCATCATCAGGTGAGCTTAGGTCGTTTCCACAATATGTCGAGCACAGCCCAGAGTATAAACACGACTTGTCGTAAAGTAGCGGTATGATATTAAGCCCCGTATCGCGAGATAGCGGCCTACGTGCAATGGTAGTACTTTCGTACCACCGAGGCACAACTGTCGATAGTAAATAAAGGCTTTTTTTGGCTATCCCAAATTATATAATGGAAAATAAATTTCTTGCAGTTTTTAGGTATATAATAAAATTATATAAGAGTTTCTTGCCTTGAACTGCTGATAATTAATTCTACGCTGTGTTCGACATAATGTGGATCAACCTGCTCTCACTTACCGGTTTGTGGGCCCGACCCCATCATCAAATTGAGCTTGGGCCGTTTCCACTGGTTCATCGGCCCCACCACAATATACGAGCAGGATGACTTGTCGCAGCAGCGGTAAGATATTAAGTCCCGCATCGCGAGATAGCGGCCTGCGTGCAATGGTAGTACTTTCGTACCACACCGAGGCACAACTATCGATATTAGTAAATAAAGGCTTTTTTTTTCGGCTAGCCCAAATTATATAATGGAAAATAAACTATCGATAGTTGTGCTCGGTGGTACGAAAGTACTACCATTGCACGCAGGCGTGCTATACTCTGCGATGTGACTCGAATATCTACCGCTACTTTGACAAGGCGTGTTTATAGCTTGTGAAGCTGTGCTCGACATGCGATCAGAAACGAATTCCAAGCTCACCTGATGATTGGGTAGGCCCCGAAACCGGTAGTGAGAGCAGGTTGATGCACATTATGTCGAACACAGCGTCGAATTCACTTTTATATCAGCAGTTCAAGATATATATATATATATATATATATATATATATATATATCAATCAATCAATTATATCAGATATATATCGTGATATGTATCATGATATATATCACTCGATATATATCCGCCAACCCTGCTAGGATATAGTAGGTCCGCAGTGGAAGGTGCTATCAAGGACACACTCTTAATAAACACAAAAAAGTTATTACAATTTTAAGTAAAATAGTTAAAAAAAATAAAATTTATTAACTAAGGCGTAATTCAAGTACAAAAAATAAATAATGAATGTTTGCTAAAATGAAAACAGCACAAAGTAAATAATAACAAATATTTTTTTATCAACACTTATCATTTGTAATTGTTATTTTTTTTATTTCTTTGACAAAAACTTAAGTTGACAATCTAATTTCTCCAATAGCGTAGGTCTTAGTCTAAACAATATCTTTTGTTTTCTAAAAATCAAGGTTTATTCTAGATAATATTTATACAGGGTGAGTCTTAAATAAGTGCAAATATTTTCAGGGCTGGTAGATCCTGATTGTCACCACTAACACAAACTACACTTACGGCGTTTTTCTCGCGAACAAATACAGTTCTGTCCCAATTTCCAGACGCGACTGAGCAATATGTCATTATTTTTTCAACGACCGCCTAGGAACATGTGGAATTTGAAGACGACGCAACTGCCATCTAGCGGTAACGAGTGGTAGTACAGTTTTGTCATTATTTTACCATATATATTGAACATTTTAAAAGTGAATGATGAAGTTAACTCAATTTTTTAAAATTTTGCAGTTCGGTCACTATTCTACCGGAACAGCGACATGGTGTCACTGATGACGTGCACCCAAAGTTGTTTTAATTTCCCTTTATCTATGTTGCCATATTATGAAGATATATTATGCTTTTTAATTAAAAATTAAAAAAAATACTAATTTTCACAGTTTTTTTTTCGCGAAAAAAAACATAGACCTGTTTCTGGGGTCGAATATACTACCCCTAAAAAATATTTGCACTTATTTAAGACACCCTGTATTATTAATATTTTCTATTATATCATTTTTATAAAATCACTTCCCGTCAATAATATAATAAAGCTATTAATATAAATAAATATAACTTTTATAGATGTAAATTTCAATATGTTACATTTTACCACGATTTTTAAGTAAAATTTTGTGGGCAGATATTTACCTGGAATAACAGAACACACAATAATTGTCCTTGTAACTTATTTACTTAAATCTTATTAACTCCCTGTGCAACGAATAACATTTCCACCCATTGGGACCGGCACAATGTTGAACTGGACCTAAAAAAATCAACAATAGATATTTTTGTTTGAAGGTGACTTGGTTTGAAGGTTTGCTGGCAACTCTTACTTTTGGGTCGATATTTAGATGTGTGGAAGTAAACCACATACGGATCTTATTAAGTCAGAGTGAGAGAAATGCGACGGTGTGCTCTTGCGGCGTTGCCACATTTCTCCGGTACGCCTTTCACTATCAAGTAAAGTAAAATCACCATTTTTTGGAAAAGTTAACTAAATAAAATTATTAGATGTGTTTTTGAGTATCTGAAATGGAATTATAAGGATATCGTTAGGGTGTCCTTTTTTTATAACGAGAAAACGTCAGTAATCGGGATAATTTAAAAACTCAATTTTTAACATATAACAGGCGATAACTCAAGAACTACTTTAGATATTGAAACTTCTTTTTATTTTGAAGGTCAGATCGTTTACAAGATGTTTAAATAAGAAAAATTTGATAGGCTTGTTTTTTTCCATTCAAAAATTTAAAAAAAAACCGTACATTTACTTTTAGTGCATTGCAATTTTCAGCAATAATGATGTAACTTTTTTATTTATAAATATTTTCACGTATTGTCTGCGAATAAAATATAGCAGAAATATTAAGAAAGTTTTTGAAAAAAACTATAATCAATTATTCCTAATAGATTTCGAGCTATCGATTTTTTAATTCTAATAGCGCGACCACTGTCAAACACCAACTCAATTCCACTTATTTTTACCGAAAGTGCAAGTGTTTCTAATTTGCACTTAAAATTTTACAAGCTATAGGGAAAATTACGACTGTTAATAAATAAACAAATAAAGTAACAGGAGACGTAATAAATCGTGAAGCTGAACGCATGAATACACTCTTCCCGAGAATATAAAGTACTGATTGGGTCTTGGGCCGACCGCGACGAATCTGCTATATCCGCTTCCACGTCTCTTAGCAATGTGCAATAGTTTTTCGGTTTATTTCATATGTTTGGCAATGTTTTTACCTGTTCTGTCTCGTTGTTTAGTACATTAATAAACGCATTGTACTCGTCTTACATACGGAAATCTTGACCCAAGACTAACCTTTACCAGCCCTTAGTATTTGATTGGTAAACTAAATTTATGTATTCTACCTTTGCTAGAGCCTCTACAACAAATATAGCTGTCTTCGTGTGTAGGGTTATTTCGCCAACTCTTACACTTGAAGGCCCTTTCGCTATCGCCATCAGTATAATGATTTGATCTTGACTATATTCGTCCACACAGGCACCTTCTTCTATTGAGTTTAGCAGTTTTAAAGCAGCCTTTATACCCGTTTCTTCCGATTTCACATCTCTTTTGCCTAGCGCAGAAGATCCTAATATGCAACCTGTGTCAGTTTCAGCTACTAAACTGAAAATAAAAATAAATGCTGTCATACTAAGCTAGGGAGAATTACTCTAATCGTAGAAACTAAAAATGCAATAATATACAGAGTATTCCGTTTAAGAAAGTACAATATTGATATTTTTTATTTATTTGGAACACTCTGTACCTTGTCAAAATAATTTTAGATTGCATCTTTAGTAATCTTTTAGTACAATAGTTTGATAAATAAGTATTCATCATTTTATTAAGAAAAATAAAGCAGTATCTGCTGGCGGAACGAATGGATATGTTACTAGTGATTTTATTTTGTGAGGAAAATTACTTCTTGGCCTCAAGGGCTTATGCTCAAAGATATCCAAATAGGAATCTTTCTGATAAGCGTACCTTTGAAAAACTACTTGTCCTATTTCGCCAGAGCTGGTAGTATAATTTATAAAAAAAACCCTATTAGGCAGAAACCTGTCATTGGAAATGAAGAAAATGAATTTGCTGTAATTGGCTCTTTTATAGCAAATCCATATATCTACAAGTCATCGTAAAATAAATCAAAGAACTACTACTTCGTTTGTATTGATAGAATAATAGATACATATTTAATAAATATTATTTATTAAAATATTGTAGGTAAGTTAAATAAAAGTAAACTGGTATAGATTCAAAAAAAAAGTCCATAAATTAATTTCGATTTTGAAAATAAGTACTAACTGTCGCTAGAAACTTGCCATGAAGATACTAGCCCTCTTGGCTGCCATTTGACGTAGCCATTGCCATTGAAAAATCGCTCTTTATTCAAAATCTGAGCTAGATAGGTATAGGAAACCCTTAACCCCTAAGGAAACCCCTAACTTACTAATATAGTTTGAAAGGAGCATTTGAATCTGCTTTGATTTATTTTAAAAATTTTTCAGTAAAGTTTATTTCCACCACCCTGTATATATCTCTGAAGCTATCAAAACATATTTAATAATATCTTAGGATTATGTAAAGTGACTAAAAAGAAAGTCAAAAATGCAATAATGTACAGTGTTCCATTTAAAAAAAATCATCCCGATCCCCTCACACTATTTTCAGTCACTCTGTCAAAGTTAAAATATTTTCCTGAAATACATCCTAGTACTTACTTTAGGTATGCACTTAAACAAAATACCTATATTTTTTATTATAGGATCTACAGATGCCTGACGTACTGTTGAAGAAGCCTGTATGTAACAAAGTAAGTTTAAATTTTAAATGTTAAAATTATTTAGATTGCCACAGCTAGCATATAATATGTTGCCTGTAGTTTGCATACCTAATTTTATTTTTGAATACACCATTAGTAAGAGTATAGCAAAGGTGTATATTAATAAAAAAAACTCTTTAGGTTAAACTTACATTATCCCGGCACAATTATCAGGAGCGATTTCTCTGTCCTCTTTGTAGCATTCAATATGGACATTTTTGTATTTCTTAAAAGCACCTTTTGCCCCGTTTGCTGTCCTGTGAGCTAAGCTAACAGGTAAAGATCCAGCCGTATAGCTCCAACCCTGGATGGATGTTATTTGTCCTTGCTCAATTAAATTAACTCCATTTAACTGACTCACTGGTTTCACCGTAACACGTATTTCACCTCCTCCTTTTGGGAAATATCCCCTTCGAACAAGTTCGAAATCAAATGTTCCACCGAATTTTTCTAATATACCTCGAAACACCTCCGTTGTATAATCTATTTGGGGTGCCATTTCGGCATTTGTCCCTCCTTTTAATGTCATTGTTACCTCCGAGTCCGCAAATAAAGCACAAGGAAGAGCAACTTGGAGTAGCAAGCTTACACTACCAGCTGTATGAATATGTGATTTGAAAAAACCACCCCTTATATGACCGGGGTAAAAGGTGATTTCCGTTGAGCCTTTCTGGGCGCCAATTACCGTTGCTGAACACATGTCCCTAACAAGTTCAACTCCTACAAGAAAAAAACATTATATAGGTATTTTATATACCTACGTAATTACAAAAGAATGGCTAATACCTTTTAAATGTTGTTCCATTAAACCTGGTTTACCTCTTTTGGCTCTAATATTAAATATTCGTATTGGAATTTTCTTTAAACAACTTAATGTAAGAGCAACTCGTAGTATTTGTCCTCCCTAAAAATTAGAATATAAAGAAACGATAACAAAAAGAATAAAATGTAATAACCCCTTCTAGAAGAGAACCGTCGATTTCAAGGGGAGTGGACATGGTTTAAATAAATATATTAATATATTTCGAATTTTGTTATTTAAAAATAATAAAAATCCGTCCTATAAAAGTTGGCAAATTATTAAGGTTAATGAATCTTCTTCAGTGTTGCCAGCAGCAATTTTTTTTTCGTACCATATTTCGTAAATTTTCGTAATAGATCCTGATGTTTCGTAATAAATCTTTTCAAATATTATGTTTGCGTGGAGTTGGCCACGTAGCCATAGCCATGCCATAGCTACAGCTAAAAGTGATGAGGTATTTTCTGGCGGCGCAATTCTTCAAACCTGTTCAAAAAATTGCAGTCAGAAAATGACTTAGGTCTTTTTTTTTGTTAAAAATAGCTGATTAATACCTCACAATTAACATTTTAATTACTTTCAAAGACGTAAGAAAACTGCCAGTAACTTGTAGATTATTGTGATGTATTTCCTTTCAATATAAACCAAATAAACAAGAAAATTCAACTAGAAATTTTAATGCCAATGAACAGGGCCGTAACAGAGGCCGTAAACTGAAAAACTACAGCTAAAGAAACTAAAATTGCTATTGCCATAGCTATAGCAACATAAATAGCTTACAAAACATAGATATTATGTAAAATACATATTTACAATTTTTTTTTTACAAAATATCACGTTTCAGGAGAAATCCACAGAAGAAATATGTGGTCAACTTCAAATAATAATCTGCACACACCCGTTTTTTCACAGCATCAGCCAGCAGTCTCATCAGTCAACTTAAAACTAACGAAATAAATATCAGGTTAAAATATAACTTTTTTTCACAGCATCAACAGTCTTAAATTAGTAAAATATATAAGTATTACAACATAGTATCATTTTTATACTGAACCTTTTTTTTTCAAAAGATTGGTGTCTGGTACCCAAGTGTGGCAAGAATAACCTTTCAAAAGATCTTTTGATTGTAATATTGAATCACAAGTGTCAATGTTTAAACGATTTCGAACTTTGGTTTTGATTAAATTATATTGGGAAAATTGTCTCTCTGCAGTTGCAGATGAATGAGGAAGACACATTATGCCTTTGACTAAGATGGATAAATTTGGAAATAACAATTCATCCATACTATTTTTCATTCGAAATATTTTTTCCCAAAATTCTTCAAAATCTAAATCTTTAATACTCTGTACTTCTTCGGAATCTGCTGACAGTCTCCATCAGTGTTGTTACAATAGGTACAATTGTACTATTTTGGGTACATTTGATAGTCAAGGAGTACATAGGTACAATTGCAAGAAAAAATGTACAATTCTTACTTCTCAAACCCAAACTTAAACCCACGTACATATTTTTAGACGAACGGTGATACGCGATGCGTGGATTTGAAATGCAGGTTGCTAGGAGCAGAGGCACAGAATTATACATCACTTGAAATGCTGTTCAAGCCGCACGGATGTCAAACGTAAGTTTGATATCCGTGCGGTGAGTAGGAGGGGGGCTAATCACTGCGACCTTAGAGATCTATTGTGTCCCGATGTCAAACGTGACGTCACGCAATTAGTTCCCATTTAACCAATGCTATTCAAAGCTCTTTGTAGCTTCTGTATTGCTGTCCTCTATTTGCGAATTTCAAGTTCCAAAGCTTTACGCCCTGGGCTGCTCAGAAGGTTCTGAAAGGAGCTGTGCGAGATAGCCTGGTGCCTCCATATGGCGCGGAACCAGTTCTGAACTTTATGACTCAATTGAATGGAGGGAGAGTATTGCGTTCTTGAACAGTTCAGAGCTGCTCAACTGCGTGAAAGGAGGACAGCATGTGGTGTATAATTCTGTGAGGGTGCATCCACATTATCCTAAAAAAAGCGGATCGGCGTAACGACCTTGAATCGATTTCCAGCAATTCTATTGGCTGAAAAATTCATCTGTCAGAAATTTTATCTGTCAAATTCACCTGGCAAAAATTTCAGCCAATAGAATTGCAGGAAATCGATTCAAGGTCGTTAAGCCAGTACGCCGTTCCGCTGTTTTTAGGATAGTGTGCATGCACCCTACGTACCAAAACTTGGTAAAAAGGTAAATAGAGAGATCACATGACCCCACATTTTTGCACCAAAAATGTACAATCCCACTTAAAAAAGTACAATTTCGACACCATTTATAGTACAAAATTTTTTGCCCTTGTAACAACGCTGGTCTCCATTCAAAATCCAATTTTTCAATGTCAGTAACTAATTGTGGAAAATACTGAATGCTCTTAGCAGCAATAGAGTTTATATTTCCACTTACTACAGTCAAAGGATTAAATATTTTACAGAAATTCAAAATTGGATCATTGAATGAAAATCTTTTCTGAATTTGGGAGCATAGCTCAATATAAAAATCAAGACATCTTAGTCTAAAATTGTTGACAGAATTATTATTTTCCTCTGAGGATAACATTACCTGGACCCTAGCGCCAAAATAAACTTCTTCAATTGGTAAAAAATTTCTGGGATTTTTTACGTCTATTCTTTCTAAACTAGTTTGGTCAAGGTAATGTTTTTTTTAAATAATTCCTTAATATCGTCTTGTATAAGGCACTAACTCTGTCACCTTAATAAATATATCTTACATTTCTCACTTTGGAATTCAAGATTTAACTGATTCACAATTTCTAAAACATAAGATAAAAATAAAAAGTACAACTTGTACATAGGATCATTGAGGTTATTTAAAGTTGTTTGGAAACTTTGTAAATTTTCTGCTAAAACTGCATCCTGAAACACTAGTTTTAGGGAATTCCAGTGCAGTAAAATTCTATTTACTACCTCCTAAAAAATAATCTAATTATTGTTATTTAAGATAACTGTAATCAGATTACCTGTAAGGACAGCCACCTTGTCTGACTTGGATGCAGCATTTATGGGGCTTCTCATCTAAAAAAGCTTTGGCATTCATTCAAAAAACGAAGGCGTTTGCTACTGTTTGAGAAAAAATTATATACTCCCCTAGCGAATTCTTCGAGTGTATTCGGTAATTTAATTGCTGCTGCGGACGCACACAGGTGGAATGTGTGGCAAATACATCCCATAACAAATAATGATGGGACATCCTGTCTAAAAAGTGCTTGTACACCTTTAATGTTTCCCATCATCACTGCCGCATTGTCAGCAGCTAGTCCAATCATTTTTGTTAGGGGTATATTATTATTTTTCAAATGGTTTATTGTGGTTTGATCAATTTCATTTGACGTACCTTGATGTATTTCTAAAAGACCAAAAAAGTGGTCTGTCACCTTTTCATCATAAAATCTTATCACTACAACTAATGACTTTTGTGTTGCCACATCAGTGGTTTCATCCATTATCAAACTATAAGCAACTGATTTGTCAACTTTTTAAGCAATATTCTCTAAAGCGGAGGATGTAAAACAATGTTTAGTAATTAGGGTGGCTTTCGTCCTAGATATTTTAAGGTCTGCTGCAATATTTGAGTCTGGACACACTGATCCTATAAATTTTGGGAGGTGGTCCATCAATAAAAAGGGTAAATTAGTTCGTGAAGAAACATAACACATCTTAACTCTGCTGCTTTCACTTTAATGGAATGTAATTCTTTGTTAGGATTGATCGACAGCAGCTCTTGAATTTTTGGTGTTTTTTCTGCTTTCTTTATTTTTTTTATGTAGTAACGTTATACTGTGCCTTTTTATATGAGTAATTCCTCCAATTATTTTTTTGTCACAAACAGTACAGAATGCTGAACTTCCATCCGATGATGATTTGCACCAATTTGCATATCTTTTATCTTCACACCATTTATCCCGAAATTTTTGTTTATAACTGGTTGTAGTTACTTTTCGCCTTTTTAAAACAGCTTTTGTGCCAGTGGATTCATCACTACTAGAATCCGAGTCTGTAATACTGGAATGCCGCCTCCCACTAGGGCCTGGTACAGGAGAATCTGGCTGACTGCTGGAGTTTTGTATAGGGGAATCTGGCTGGCTTCTAGAGCCTGCTATACGAGAGTCTGAACAGCTACTATGTTCTGATGTAGGACGAACAGAAGCAGTAATAATGGGAGGATCTACAGATTTTGCAGCATCTATTTTGGAAACACCAGATGTAGATAACCACCTACAAATTTAATTAATTTGATATAAACATAATTAAGTTAAGTAAACTATTAGGTAGATAGGTAGGTATAAAATATAAAGTTTATTCTGTAACTTACTTCTTCATCATAATAAAACTTTCTAAAATACTTAAGTTCACAACAAAACTTACTTTGGTGGTTAGTGGTTACTGGTTAGTGATTCCCCGTTTTAGTGTTCCCCCCGTTTCCCGCTTTCCAAGGTTCCTTCCATAGACAAAGAAATAAATAATTTTGTTTCTTTGTCTATGGTTCTTTCTTGTAAAATGTTAGGTTGTACCAGAGATATAAGGTTATAATACTCACAGCAGACGGCAGTGGCTCCAATTCGGTCAACGTGCAATAATTAATTTATTATACACAAAATGTGGAATGAACATTTTAAAAGCCAGTTTATCATCTTTTTTTTTTATAGTTGAATTTTTAAATAGTTGGATTGGCTGTATCGTAAAAACGTAATAGATTGGTGAGCGGCGTAACAACGTAACAGATTTTTTTTTCCGTAATAGATTTATTACGAACGTAATAGGGCTGGCAACACTGATCTTCTTCCTCTTAAAAGTTCAAATTGGTGTTTACTGTTTAATGTCTCTCTGAGGTTAATCTAAATAGAGTCTACTTTGTTTACGCAGAATCCGAACCGCGGTCCTCGGCTATATCATTGTCAATTTTTAAGTCAATATGGCCTACTGACTTGGTGAGTTAAAATCAGGAGACTTGGTCTAATAATAAATCGACTCTTACTCACCAGATATCCGCTCTCCTCTGGCCTCGAACCAGCGTAAATGAGGGTAATAATTCTGGTCGAGGACCGCGGTTTGGATTCTGTGTAAACAAAGTAGGCCAGATTAGCCTTAACAGCAAAAAAGATGTTAACTTAAAATACTAATTTCTTGACAAAATGGTGACTGAAATTTTTAAATCAAAAATTTATTATCTGTTTATTTTAATAATAACTGCAGCTATTATTATTTATTATTTAAGGCGGGCCAGTGTATGAACAAGACCTTGAGTATTTACCCAAATTTCAATATACTGGGTGTTTGCCCGTCACTGGTCCCTGCTAAGGCCTAAGTATCTTTCGAATTTCAGAATAATTATAATTTAATAATTAATTAATTTTAATTCCTTTTATTTCTTGTTTAACATCAGAGATATATTATCTCGTTTGTAGTTATTCTAAAAATTAACCGTTTTATTTTATGTGGTTTTCGCCTCATTTGTACCTACAATAAATTAATAATATAGATAATAGTAATAATAAGGAAATAAGATACACAGTGTCCAAAATAAATAAAAAATATGAAAGTTGATTTTTTTAAATGGAACACCCTGTATATTCTTACATTTTTAGTTTTTATGATTAAAATAATTGAATTTGATTAAGGTTTAAAATTTACAATCTTGTGAAAATGCAGTAACAACTAACAACTTTAATGCTTCATTTCTCTAGGCGCATTTAAGTTTTTAAAACCAAATGTAATGAAGTTTTTCTATTTGCTAAATATTGTGTTGCAATGATACAAATTAATCTACCTTATAACGAGTGTCTAAACATTTATATTAAATAATTATTACTAGCTTTAAACGGCAATACAAATCTACTTGTCTATCAAATTGTATATAATCTTACTTGTCTATCAAATTGTATTATACCATTTTTACCCATCTTTTCAAGTTTTCGTAGAAAATGCATTTGCTTATAATTTAGACCTCATTTATCAATATACCGATGGAATATTGACATTTTAGATTTTTTTAAAAAAATGTACATAATGCACAGGTGCTGAAAACGACAAATATTGCTAGCTCGATTTGTTTAAATATTTGTAAAATAAAAAAAAAATAAAATATTTGTAAAAGAATATAATAATTAAATATGCCACTATTATTTCCGCCCAAATATTAATTAATTACCTACATACTTAATTATGTCAGTTAATAAATTATTCTTAATAAATGTGGATTTGAATCAGAAATCAATATAATAATAAGTTATGAATGTAAACGTCTCTGTTGTTATAAATAAGCATTCGTCAAAAAATGAAATAAAATTTACAAGGTGTTACTTTTTATCACACTGTTTAATACACATACAAAATTCAGTTTTTTAGTATTTGGAGCAATTATTAATCGACGCAAACAGTCCATTAATATAAATATTTCGAATACTGGCATCATATTAATTGGTCTTCTTTTACAAATTTATATAAACAGTTTTTTTTAATTTTAACGAAATAAACAAACCATATCGACAATATTAGTATACAGAAACTTGGGAATTTTGTTTAAGTACAAACCTAAAGTATCTACTAGGATATGTATTTCAGGAAATAATTTTAACTTCTATAGGGTGGCTCAAAAAGTGTGAGTGGATCAGGATGATTTTTTTTAATGGAACATCATGTATATTATTGCATTTGGCTTCCTTTCAGATCACCCTACATTATCCTAAGATATGAGTAACTATATTTCGATAGTTTCAGAGATATTAAAAAATATATATATTTTTCAGTTTTTCTTAAAAAAATATTAAAAATACAAGAACTGTCCTGAAATCCAAACTATATTAGGTATTTACTTTAGATAGTCTGCACTTACTTTGCTATAAATATCGTAATCTTAAATCATACAGGATGTTCAAAATTTTATGCCAAACTTTCTAATATTTAAATAATTTTGCTTCGTTTTTTAAATGGAACACCCTGTATATTATTCAAGAGTATTTCAGAATTTTTAACGGTTTCACAGATATTCGTGGTTTCATATTTCAAGTGGCATTTTCCACAGTAAATTTTTATCAAAGCCACCCAAAATGATTTTTCTTTCGTATTTTACCGTTGAAAGAGCCATAATATGAAATAATATTGAGTGTATCTGCGAAACAATTAAACATTTTGAAATACTTTAAATATAAAAAATGTTGATTTCTTAACTCTCCATGTAATAAAAAAAAGATACAGGGTGTTCCATTTAAAAAAATAAAGAAAAATTATTTTATATTTTAGAAAGTTTGGCGTAGAATTTTCAACACCCTGTATGATTTAAGATTACGATATTTAGAGTAAAGCAAGTATAGACTATGTAAAGTAAATACCTAATATAGTTTTGATTTTGGGACAGTTCTTGTATTTGTACCAATATTTTAAGGAAGGTTGAAAATTATATTTTTTATTTATTTATTCATATCTCTGAAATTATCGAAACATACTTACTCATATCTTAGGATTATGTAAAGTGATCTGAAAGGAAGCCAAAAATGCAATAATATAGAGGGTGTTCAATTTAAAAAAAATTATCCCGGTCCACTCACACTTTTTTGAGTCACTCTATAGAAGTTAAAATATTTTCCAGAAATACATCCTAGTACATACTTTAGGTTTGCACTTAAACAAAATTCCCAAGTTATTTATTCTAGGAGCTGCAGATGCCCGACGCACTATTGTCGAACCCTGTACAAAATTCATTTTTTTAAAGTATTTGGAGCAATAATTATTAATCATAACAAACAGTCAATTAATATATTTCGAATATTGGGATCATATATTGATTGGTCCTCTTTTACAAATATTTAAAAATTACACCTTTAAAACTAATCGAAATATGTGTCAGGACGTCAGGTCTCCAAGAAAGAAATGTTTTTGCAAACCAGTGTTTTTGATAGTAAATATTTAAAATAAATTCGTCCGGTAGTTCCGTTTATTTAATTTCGAATTAGAACCAAAAAACCGGTACGACTCACGGTTGCGCGACGTTAATATTCCATCTCTCGCCGTCTTCAGAGGAGAAGACCGTTATCAGCGGACCGGATGGACAGCGTCCAGCATCTTCGGCCGGCCCGGTCATTCCCAGCATCTCGTCGTTGATGACCGGCGGGGTCACGCAAAGGGTTCGCTACTACCGGTTCCGTTCGAATTCGCTCTCGCATCTCGGCGCTATAATTCCTTTTATTCGCCGCTTTATTAATCGGACGGTGGTGGATGCTGCATTAATTCGGAGGGGACTAGATACATAGATCTCGTTCTGTGGCTGGGCTAGTTTTAGGGAGGTTAAAGGGCAGTAACGATCTAATCTAGTCTAGTCCGGGCCATGGGAGATTTTTTTCAAGGATAACTTTATATTAATTAAGTTATTGACATACATTAAATTAATACAAATTAGTATTTTATTTTTTTTACCACGTTGTCTTCTAGCAAGCCAATAGAATGTGGAGTACCACAAGGCTCAGTAGTAGGCCCTATTTTGTTTCTTCTTTTATTAACGACATTGCTAACATAAACATCAGTGGCAAAATATGTCTTTTGTGGACGACACTAGCTTCACTTGGAGCAACAAGGACGTCACGGCACCTCATAGGATTATATCAAATGACTTAAGGTTGCCGCCCACTAGACCG